ATATCTCCATTGAACGGCTTTGGTGTCTGTGGCACAAGAAAAACATGGACGAGAAGAGAACCATGGGCATCGCTGGTTTGGACCGCCTGGCTTGTCATCGGAGTTGCCATCTTTCTGGGTGTCGATGTCAAGGGACCAAATTCAGGGGGTAACCCACGCAGGCGGCGGCTGCTTCTTGCTCTGGGAGATGTAGCTGTCTCCACGATGGCCGACACAGCCGAAGTACACGTACCCAGCACCTCCACCAGTAATGTCGCGAGCAAAAACAAGACCTGCAGCCAGGAGTTCACCCGAACCAGAGCAACGAAAATGTTCTCTTCTTCGTAGCCCAAAACGTGTATGACCCATAGCGGCTCGTTCATCAATGGTGGCAATATTTGTTAGGAGATACGGTATTGTAAATAGAAAACAATAATTGAAGGTTTTAACGCCATTTTGAGTATCGCTTGGCTTGAATGTTCGTTGGTACTATTAAGTTGTGTGCAACATATAAACGAACGCACAAATCCATTCTTTTGCAATAGTTCTTTCATGGCTACCTGTCTCGTCAAAGCATTCGTCATGCCTTCAAGTAGCACGAGCGCCAACACTAGTTAGCTGCCAGTGCGATGAAATGCCATGGGCTAATTGATGCCACACAGCAGATGAAGTGTTCCGCACGCGTCGCTTTAGCTACGAGTGGCGTTGAGTCATCAGGCCACAATTACACGCGCCGGCATACCCAATAACATGCCTGGTGCTATAAAGGCCGTCAGAACACAATCAGGAGATCATGAAATGTGTCATTCGAAGTTTGTGAGTTCGGACTCCATAAAAAACGAGCGTTTTTACGGCCGCTTTAGTTGAAATCTTCTTATATCACAATGGCTGAACCAGGGTTGAAAAAGTACAAATATTTTGTAATAAAGTTTCATTTCACTCTGTTATGCCTAAAATTAAACAAGCTGCTCGAACACTAGCATTCGTTCTCTGAAAATATTGGTCACGCCTGAAAAATGTCTGAATTCGTTCTTTTTGCAGCTAAGATTTGCCACGATTTGCCTCTGCCAGAATTTCCAAGAGGCTGTCATCGGCAATTACGCTTCATTGAGGGCACTCTGTTACACTTACTTGGCTCACAGCCGTGTACTTTTTTTATTACGCACGTTTGAAGACCTTAGGTGGTCGAAATTTCCGCAGTCCTTCCTTAGACCACCTCCCATATTCATATTGTGGTTTTGGGCCTTGAATTCTGGGCACTAATGTCAGTTCGCGCTCGTCCAGTGTATCAATCTTCTCTTGTTTTGTGCGTACCTCTCGGTGTTTTAGCAGCATGCTCTCTGTGTCGACCTGTCACAGGTGTTAGCTCACGCTCGTCCTGTGTATGCACTATTCGTGCGATCTTTTTGCTTGAGGAGTGAGCAACAAGTTTTTAGCATTGTCCCTTGAAACATTGCAATTTTTTGCTACAGCATTCGTTCATTTGTCCATGAGGAGCGAAAATCCACAATAAATGATCAACTGCCTCCTTGCAGACGCAATTTACTTCCATACTTTACCGTTCCTTATGACAGAGATCTGTCACATTTTTCATCACATTTCTTTGTCCCAATGTTTATGAATTTACGCCCAATGTATATATAGCATCTTTAACAAACACTGCCTTATATTTCGGAACTACTTGGTTTGGGCGTAGCACAGGTAAATGTTTGATAAAATAATGCGGTGACGACAGATAGCGGTCACGTGTTTGTTCAATAGTCACTGATTTTGCTGGCGCCAGGGCATCACATACGAAAACGTCGCTACAACCGGCGTTGTCCGAAGGCATGTGTCCTTCTCTTCTTGTACATTTGTGGTTTTCTAGCTTGCTTTTCAAGTATTTTCTGAGAGCGCAGCCACCGTGTGGCTCAGTATACTTCTATTCATAATTCTTTGCAGTGATTGGAAGCTAGCAAGCAATGACAGGAAACTAGCACAAAGAACAACATTCAATATTACTAAGCAACCTGATTCATAAATGCATGTTTTTTAGTATTTTCCCTTGAATCTAACTATCTGATACGCAACACTGTTTGAAACACTGATTCGCTGTGCATGCGGAGGTCACGGAGAGACCTTAAAACTCTTAGTAATGAAAGGAAAGTCTTCATAAGAAATTTCATTTACAGACTTGCTAATCTGTACTCAATTTATCAAGAGTTTTATCAGCGTACATAAACCACTCTGTAAGGTTTCTAAAAATTACGATAAGTACATTAGTCGTCGAAAATTATGCGATGACCGAGTCCTGCTTTCTGCCTCAGCGGCTAATAATTTTATCAGTTGATCACCACCGCATTCATGTTTCATATTAGGACAGCTCGCTCAAGTTTTCAATGATTAACTAGGCTGTTTTCTTACGAAAGCTATCGCTTTTTCACGCATTGTAGCGCTGCTCTCTTATAAAAGAAAAGCGCTCGTCTAACTACGCTGATTCAATGGCTGTGGCATACTGTCTGCCCAAAGAGGATTACAAAAAAATGCTGCAAGGACCAGCACAAGACATCCACTTTCAACGGGAATTCGCCAAATTCTTCTCTTGCGTCAAGATTTTTGCAACAGTATACATTTAGCAGCACAAACAAATAATTTCGTCGATGCAAGACCAAACACTTAGCAGACCTAAGCTTAGATTGGCCCAATGAAAGTGAAGTTCCCCAAGTAATAATGAATTATTTAATCTTTTCACATTTGCGTAAGAAAGCGGCATGATGAAGTTAAGGTATTATTAGTAAAACTCTTTTGGCAACGATTCACGCATTTCCGCCGCCCGAGTGATGTTCATAATTAATGAATTGTACTAAAAACATGTATGCAATTTCAGTGCTTCGGTAAGTAGCGTAATTTTTCATTGTCTGCGTGGTTCAGCCCATAGCGCCTTCAGAGAATATTTACGCATAAAAGCTACCGTAAGCACAAAAACATGCACTCAGTCTTCTTATCAATATAGGTTGGATCCGGAAGCTATTGCCACAGATCTTCATTTTACCGCATTTGTTAATTACAAAGCCGCAACTCCTGATAATGTTTTGGGGTAAAGACGCTGATGTAACCTATCGCAAGTGTGACAGCTTTTCTGTCGGACAGCCCTTGAAAGTCTACTAACCAACATAATATACTAGCGGCTGTAAAGCAATCACTGATACAGTTAAATTCTCTTATATATATATCCCAGTCGATTTGAACTTAAAGGTCATTCCAACAGATGTAAACGTCACGGCACAGCCCTGTTTAATTCCTGGGACGGGAACTAACTCTCCTGAGTACCCCTTTTCAACACCTTTTCTCAAACTAACGTTTTCTTCTTGCTGTTGTTCTGGATAATTCGAAAACGTCAGTATGCACCACGGCAATTCAAACTGGGAGTGCCTGGGTTCATCTCTCCACACATAGGACGGCCCAGAGGGAACACAATGTGCTGCAAAGCGAATCCCAACCAAATTTATTATAAATTTACTATAAAAAAACGAAAAGGTGCACATATCAGGAGATGAGAAACTGGACGCTGCGATGGAGCTCTTAGTCAACCTGAAAACAGCGCTCATATTCAAGCCCCAAAGAATCACAAGCAAGAGAAAGTTGCCGATTACATAAAATCTTGATTGCGTTAACTTCGCCATGTAAAGAAATGTGTTTCGGAGCGTAACTAGCACCACATGTCCCTAGGACATGGCTCACTGCTTAACTCAATGCATAATGCTGCTTGCTTAATGCGTATCACTGAGTCACCAAATCATCACCGCAGCGTTGGCTACATTGTTAGAGCGTCCACTTTCAATGCGGCAGGTGTCGGGCTCGATTCCCAATGCTGACCTGTAACCCACACACTTTTCCCAATATATAGAGGAGTACACGAACCTGGCATTCGGTTGTTTCTGGGTACACGTCTCGAAAGGTATATCCCCATAAGGTTCTGCGAAGGTCCTTGGGCGTACCTTAACCAACCCCAGCCTTGATGAAATAGTCGAGCATCCACCGATGCTGTGGAAGACAGAGAATTGTTGCCGCCAGGTGCCTACTGTTTAAATAGGTAAAAGATCTCTTCTGGCCTGGTGTTGAGCAGAACGAAATTGCAGTCGACAGGACGCCGACCAAGAGGACGTCAAATATACAATAAAAGACGTTTAGGTTTCCGCGTGGAAGCCGAAACGTCTTTTATTATATTTTTACGCCCTATCTGTCGGCGTCCTGTCTTTTTCCTTCTACTATACCATTACTTCCCGACCAGACAAGATTTCGTCCAGTTCTCGACTTCGAAATTATAGTCACTACGAAGGACACCCACCACGCGAGAAATTGGTGGCATGGAAGCGCCAGATCTAAAATTATGGTCATTTCCTTTGTTTCTGACACTAAAGAGTAGTTGCTCCTAATATCTTATAATAATATCAGAGCTGAATTATTTAAGTCCTCTCATTACAGCGCCCTGCCAGTAATGTAAACGTCACTTATCTTTGAGCAATTTTGTATTCCGCATTGAATTTAAATTTGTTAACCTTTACTGTTAACACAAACCGATTTTGAGGCTGTACCACGATGCATCTTGCGTGTTCATCATTTTGTGAAAGAAAAATGTGAGCTATTGCACATATCTTATGAATGCGAAGTAGTGATAAGCAAAAAACAACCATATCTGTACAAGCCAAACAAAATGACAACAACGTTATTCAACTCTATTGATGTAACGTTTACTACAGTCGTCACAACCAATGTTCAAGATAGCTATATGCTGAGTACGACTCATTGTCTCACCGAACGGTAAACAGTCCCTAATCTTGGATTATTCTTACAGTCTTTCGCGCTGTCTACTGACATCTTGTTGACTTGCTCGAACAATGCTGTTTTTAACGCCAACCTGCGATTGTAGGGCTCACGTGGCTTATCGAATGCGTATAAGGTCATCAGGTCAGGAAGTAAAATAGCTGACAAGCCATGTCTGTAGCTCAAAAAGCTCTGACGAGCCTCAAAGATATGCACACAGTAGTAATGGCCCTGTCGTGCTACAACTTTGTAGTGTTAGTCGCTTTGGGGTCCATGGTCGCTGCTTCCCGCGAGAAGTCTGAGAAAGATGAGGACAAAAATAAGCTTAGGCTCTGGGCTCTCCTAGTCGCTGGTTCTAACGGTTATGACAACTACAGGCACCAAGCCGACATCTGTCACGCCTACCATGTGCTACACAACCATGGCATTCCCGACGAACGCATCGTGGTCATGATGTATGACGACATCGCCAACTCAAGAGAAAATTCCATGCCAGGGGTTATCATCAATCACACTAAGGGTAATGATGTTTACCAGGGCGTGCCCAAAGACTACACAGGAGACCAGGTAACCCCGCAAAACTTCCTTGACATTCTCCAAGGGAAGAAAGTTCAAGGCGGCAGCGGGAAAGTTATAGCGAGCGGGCCCAATGACCACATCTTCGTTAATTTCGCCGATCATGGCGCACCTGGTGTTATTGGGTTTCCGAATGACGAGTTGCATGCCCTACCATTTATAAAGGTCATCAAAAGTATGGAAGAGCAGAAGAAGTTTGCGAAGATGACCATCTACATCGAGGCCTGTGAATCTGGTTCCATGTTCGACGGCTTGCTGCCTGACAACGTTAACGTCTACGCCACAACTGCAGCTAACCCTGACGAGCCTTCGTACGCTTGCTATTGGGACGAAAAGAGGCTCACATTCCTGGGTGACGTGTACAGCGTGAACTGGATGGAAGATTCCGACAAAGAAGACCTGCACAAGGAGACACTCATTGAACAATTCAACATAGTAAAGGAGGAAACTAACACCAGTCACGTCATGGAGTATGGTGACTTGAGCATCGGAAAGCTTTCAGTCAGCGAATTCCAGGGCGAAAAGAAGGCAAAGCCAGTTGTGCTACCAAAAGCACCGTATGACGCCGTCTCCAGTAGGAACGTCCCTATTGCTATTCTAAGGAAGAAACTCGCAAGTGCGGTCAAGGCTCATGAAAAGAAGTTTTTGAAGAAAAAGCTGTTGCAAGCTCTAAAGAACCGATCATTCCTGAGGAACAAAGTTACCGATATGGCACTGTCTCTGACTCGAGATAACCCAGGTGACGTGGTCTCAGTGCTAACTTCGAAAACGCGACTAACCAAGTTTAACTGCTACGAAAAGGCAGTGCGTCATTTTAATGATCGGTGCTTCAAGCTCTCGAAGAACGCCTACGCTTTTGAGCAGCTGCGAGTTTTCGTGAACATGTGCGAGTCTTCATACAAACTCTCGGAGATTATTGAATACATGGACTCGGCTTGCACGCACCCAACTGTAGTAGGCATTGTGTAGAAATATTTTAGTATTAGAAAAAAAGGCTTGACTTACATGAACTCTTCCACGCTTATTTTTTGGGAAGTTGACAAACTGCTGTACAATACTGTGACACTACTGGCAACTCCTGAGACTATGGGTTGTTGCGTGTGCGCGTTCATTGCTCAATATATCGATAATTTTATATCACTATGGCACCGCACACAGCTGGCATAACACTTGGGGCCGTTTATGCATGTTAATGTGCCTTACACAATACTGTAGTTCCATCAAGTTTTTGTTGGGGTAACAACGAAGACGCTATAAAATATTTGAAAAGCAACATCATTGAACTGCCTACTTCAAAATCCACGTCAGTGGTACAATGTTTACGGTTCTCGACAGGTGATCCGCAAATGGCCCATTAGATCTCCGCCATGGCGGCCACATTCCGATGAAGAGCAAATGCTAGACTTTCTTGTACGGAGATATTGCACTCCTGGCTAACGGAAATAAAATGTTCAAACATTTGTCAGCTCTTTGCAACAGCTTGCCTCATAACTATATGGCGCTATTGGCTCACAAAATCTTATATTTTACTACTGCAACAAATTCTACTACAACTACTCTTAGTATTAGTAGTCGTGTTGTTACTCTTAACATTATTATTATGCCAGGGAAACCACAACATCGAAGCTTCATGTGAAATTAGATGTCCCGAGATTGTTTAGAGTCAACACACCGCCTCCTACTATCTTCCACGAAACAAAGAAAAAAAAGCTGGCATTGTTTTTAGGTATGGTATTGTTCATCTAGGAATATACAAGTATTATGATCAAAATATTGGTGAGATGTTTAGAATTTTTCTTTCTGCTGTTGCTGATTCCGAGTTTGATTGGAATGAATTCACTACATTCCTCCCATAAGTATTTTCTCAGGTTATTTTTTCTTGTTTCCATTGTGCCACGGCCGCTTGTGAGTGACTCGATGATATGAAGCAAACGTGCAAGTATGTGTTTTCAAGCTTGGTGGCCTCCAATTCAAAAGTACTCACATTTAGGTCCTAGAATCAATAGCGCATGATACATAGTGTCAGTTTCTTGCGTTTATATCAGGCGCTTGCGATTTTATGTGATACCATACGACCATTAAACCTGGCACGTTCTGCGGCCTGGCTGGAATGATAGCACTAATACTAAACAATTACTATTTTGGAAAAAGGTGAATTTTTGTGGCGATCATGTCAGTGATCCTGCAAAACACAGTTGAAGTGACAGCTTACAAACGTGTTGAATGAGTTCATTTTAACAACCACGGCGCTTCTCCGACTTTCACCCTCGAAACGGCCAAGAAATCACTAAACAGAACGTATCAAAAAACTCAACAAATGGGGATTCTGAAAGTTATTGTGGTAGCTTTGCAGCACAGATTATTTTTGGTATGATTGGCGTTGTCTGGAGGTCAGAATTATGTACTATCTTTTATTTATTACTTGAAAGAGTTGCGTATTAATATAGAAAGTTGCTAAAACAGCCAAGCATTGAAATGTCGATCACTCAGTAGTTCCTCGGAAGCGAGGCATTTATTTCATATATGTGTATTGCAGCCTTGCGAGACTTTCCCAGGGTTCTAGTTGGCAAACCCTAAAATGACAAAACAAGGCACCGTGCACTGAGCATGAGGATCAATTGTTAGTAGCATAGAAATGTAATTGAGGAATTCGTAAATTTTGACGCGGCCGGGCAAAATATTTTTTGTTCTACATTTTGGAGAAATAAATAAAATAATCAATAACATAGGCTGTGTTCTAATTCTTAGACAGCACGTAGACAGTATGCGCAGACTGCTTAGAAGACAGCACCGAGCCCATGCTGTCCAAGAATTGGAACAGTTCTGGAGAGAGAGAATAAAACATTTATTTGTGACAGAGAAAGGAATGCCGGTGAGTGGTATCCTTAGTCCGGGATCCCATTGGCACGGGCCGCTGTCCTCGCTCGTCTCACGAGGGCCTCTTGTGTCTTCGGATCCGAGCAGGACAGAGCTGCCTCCAACTCAGCAGAGTTGTGCTCGGTTCTGGGTTGTAGAGGTGGATTGTGTGGCGGCTTTTACACGACGATGCGACACCTCACGCTGAGAAGAAAAAGCTATATTAAATAAACGCTACAGTTGTACTTTCTGACTTATTTGGTGTTCAAATAAAAAAAAAATAAACGTTACTCACATTGGGCAGCTGGGAAAGAGTCTGCTTGTGTGCAGATGACCATGCCGGCGAGATTTGATTTGTCTGAGCGACTCGCTGGGCCACCATCTTGTTTAGACAGTAAAATAGCCTGAATCGTATTTGTCTACGATGCGGTCATCTCGAAGCTGTCTATTTTGCCGGCTACGTGAAAATTGGACGGAGACTAAAGATGGCCGCCGTTCATTTAGCTGTCTATTCAGCCGTCTATGGTGAGTATTGAAACACACCCATAATATCGGCTATGTAAACACTAATATTCATCTGATTATGATCTCCTGCTGATATTGGCGGCCGTCAGCCCCTCGGGCGTCACTAAGGAGAAGCAATTAGAATAGAGCAAGCAGATTTATTCTGCCGGCACAAAAAATGTTTCTATTGGGGCAATATCAATGAAATACTCTTTTATGCAGGGGAGAAGAAATATTCAAGTGCCCGAAACCTCGTCCTAATGGCTTTGACAAAGAGCAGAACATGCTTCCTCTCCTTTTCGTATAAATTAAGAACCAAAAAATCTTTATTTAAAGATGAATATCTCGATATATCAGAAGTGTGTGCAGCTGAAGAAAAACGCCAGCCCTGCGCGGAAGGCGCAGTACAGTCATAGTGAAAGCTTCAGAGCCTTTTCGAAACACTCATTGGGTAGTTACTGCATGCACACTTGTTTGATACCCACAAAGTCAGTATTCATAAATTTATTTGGGTAGTAGGCCGGCGTTCCCTATGCTATTTTTTGTCATTCTTCTGAGAAGCGTGGTATATCCGCTTAACACTTGCAAGGAATTTTGTACCAATTGCTCATGCAGGGGCTGACGAGAATGAGGAAATATGGCTGAAGTGGGTATGCGTTACAGTTAATAGGGGAACAAGAACAAGCTTTTGTGATGGGTTGGAGCATTGGACGGCCCTACGCTATTCGCATTGTGCGATGACTGGTTGTTCTTTCACTGTTTTAAAATGCTTTATAAGTCGCATTAACGCGATTGCTTTCCCGACATCAAGCCTGCCGAAGGCAAGTTTGTCAACAAGGTACAAGCACCGGCATAACTCAGTGGTAAAATACTGGGCTGGTACCCAGCGGACCCGGGTTCGAGCCACACAGTGTCATTGATGCTAGGTCAAGCATGCTTAAGTTTGGCAACAAGGTACAAGCACCGGCGTAACTCAATGGTGAAATACTGGGCTGGTACCCAGAGGACCCGGGCTCGAGCCCCACTGTGTCATTGGTGCTAGTCTTTTTCTACTTTCGCATGATGTAGTTACGGACACCGGCGATGGCGGCGGACAACTGTGCATGACCCAAGTTGTGATCTCATAACAGCTTTCGCTGTGAAACTAAGACAATGGAAGGCACATAAACCACATAGACTGATGCTGACTTCCATCTCGTTCATTTAAAATCATGACCCTTGGTTTATACAAGTGGACATGTTATCGTCCACTCAAGATGCTTCATGGGTTAACAACAAAAAACTGTATTTCTTCGTTGCATAAATACACAATTGGCATACCTAATCTCTTAATACCAGATTTCCTAATGTTACCTATCTATATTATACTTTATTTTTTCATTTTGCAGGACTGAAAAAGATCGCGTAATCAAATTGTGGACTGCATTAACATTTGTTGTAATGATCTGCAATATGTCCGCCTGAATGGAGTCTTGTAGTCAAAGAAGGCTCGTGTACTATGATCTACAAACCTTGATCTGTCTGAACAAAGTATTCTTTGGCTTAATAGAGTGGTAGCTTGAGTGCCAAAGGTGCAAATATCAGTGTAACGATGCGCATGTTTTTTTTTTTCACAGCATTTTTAGTTTTAGTTGGTCAGCTTAGCGCGAATGTACGCTAACTTGCATGGCGCGGGAAAGAACACTTAAACTTAAATCTGTTGCCATTTTTCATACGATTGTGGGAGAACTTGCGAATGTATGGTGTGAGCAGCGGTCTTCAGTCATCGTAATACTTTTGTAGGTCAGGTTCCTTTTCCATAAAGCTGTAAAGCTGATTCACAAACAACCTTGGCAAGCAAAAAGGTAAAGCCCGCAGCATGATAACGTTGCAACTGATTATTGAGACTATCTGAAGTGGTGTGCCGGCAGTTTCTTTTTAGTGCAGATTTCACACGACATCGCAAGCCCGCTTTTAACAAGCTTAACGTGCGCACTCTCATAAGACAAAAAAGATGTTCTTTGTTATGGGGCCCTGCATATAATAAACATCGCATTTGCAAAAAGTTACCTTGAGGTGTAAAAATTGCATCCTCTTGTTACTTTATCTCTCCCGGATAATGCTTTCACCATGTGATTCAATAGTAGAAACTCTATCAATCATCCAGATGACTTTCTAAAGTCAGCGCCACGGGACTTCACACAGCGTGATTCCCCGGCAGCTTCTCGGCGCACGCACAAGAAACTTCATACTACGTAAACGTGGACTCCGAGCCCTGAGCGTGTCCGCTCGGTGCGGTTGCCATGAAGCGTTGCTTCGACGATCATTCAAAAACAAAAAACAAAAGTGAGCTCGTGAGCCGGGAACGACTAGCAATGCCTCGCAGAGAGGAAAGCGAGCCGAGACACGAGTAACGTCGGACGTAGCCGATCGAGCTCCTGCACCGAATCCCGCTTCCCTCTACATGTGGCCACTGCCCATTCACTTGTAACTTAGTACGATAGAGTTTCCTTCTTAAAAATTGAACTTTGCCTTAACTCCATCATTCATCCATCACTGACATGGCGCAGCCGATGACAGGATGTGAATCGATCGAGCTGCATGCGGAAGGGAAAACGACGTCATGAATAGGAGCGACACCACGCGTACATCGTCACGGGACTCAGTGGCGACCATCGTCGAAAGCCTGCTTACGACCCTCGATAGCAGCATGATAGCCAACGCTACGAAAAAGCAACTCGTCAACGAGCTGAATATACGAGGTCTACGATGTTCTGGACGAAAGGACGAGCTCATCGCATGACTTATCTGGGACAACACTACTCGCCAAGCCCGGGAGCCGACGAACTCTTCAACGAACGACCAGGCTTCCTACGACTATGACAGGCAGGCGCACCTGGAAAAGCTGTCTGCCCACAACGCAAGGCTTCACGAAGAACTGAACAGTCTGCGAGCAGAGCTCAATCGTGCGACCACGTGTGAACAACGTGAGACATTATACAAGACAAGTCACAACGCTTCAATTCCAACGGAGAGGGTGATGACTCCAATCCACGGGCTGCACCATTCCGTCCCTGCTGACACGACGATGTCCCCGAGTTCGACATGGTCACCATCACTGA